TTGCCAAATGCAAGACTCTTTAAAGCAAGGTGTTCTTTGTGGAAAAAAAAAAAAAAAAAAAACCCCAGCCATGTTAATCCTCTTGGTCCTTCATTTTGCTGGCTTCTTCCTGGTCTCCTAAAATAGGTCCATATTACTTATGAAATTGGTCTGGATTACATTGCAAGTATACTTTCACAACTGGAGCTACAAAATTGCCTTAGGTCATGCCCACACATGACTGATAAATTGAGTAATACATTAAAAATACAGTCAGAGGAAATTTAGTTCATCATTTTGGCAAAAACCTGATGTTACCAAAATCATGCTTATAAATCATTGCCTCATCTTTGTGGGTGCATAAACAAATTTTCCCTTGCTTAGCCAGTTAAATAATCTACACGACACATTTGTTTTGTTTCCTCTTTCTCCTGAAAAAAAATATTGAGAACAAGTTATTACAATATCTCTGTAACAAGAAAAAAGCTAGACCTGAATTATAGAGGACAATTTTATAGGAAGAAAATTCTTAAGAATGTTTTCTTTTTTTACCACTTAGATTACAGTAAGGTAACAAATATGATTTTGCACAAATTTTATTTCCTCTATTTATGCTTGCAAGGACAAAGTAATGCTAAAATTTTTAAACTGGCTCCTAGGAAAACTCACCAAATAGTCAGCTTTTCTCTATTTTTCTTACTTGAAATTCAGCTTCTGCCTTTCATCCCTCTTATATTTTTAAGTAGGTAATGAGAAGTTGAAGTACAAGCTCTCTTGAAATATTGTGGATCGGGTCTGAACAGATCAGAGCTCAGTTCTCTCAGCTGCACTTGCCAGAGCTTTTTCTAAATGGACACATCCGCATATACATAAAAACGGTGGGGGGAGAAAGCCTATAAAAATGCAAAAGAATTTTTTGTGGTATTAAATACACCCAAAGATAGAGATGCGTTGAAATTCATAAAGTATGTGAGAAAAGCAACTGATGACAGGCACTTGAAAAAACCAAAAAATTAAATAATTTATTTGGCTTGGAGGTTATTGAATTTAAGAAGAGATAATGTAGCCCTGGCTGGTGTAGCTGAGTGGATTGAGCCCGGGCCTGTGAACCAAAAGATTGTGGTTCAATTCCCCGTCAGGGCACATGCTTGGGTTGCAGGCCAGTTCCCAGCAGGGACCAGTTCCCAGCTGGGGATGCACCAGAAGCAACCATACATTGATATTTCTCTCCTTCTCTCCTTCCCTTCCCTTCTAAAGATAAATAAATAAATAAATTTTTTTAAGTTTAAAAAAAGAGAAGAGATCATGTATATTTGGTGGGAGGTAGGAAGCTAACAGACCCCCCCCAACACTGCCTTAGTCTATTTCTTGGTATGCACTACTCCAGCTCATTCCCCCATCCTCTGTGTCTTGAATACGGCCATACAGGCCACTGCTTTGGATTTTCGGTATTTGCTCCTCTCCAACCTGATACATTCTCCCAGGTATTTACATGGCCCACTTCATCATTTTGTTACATGTTGTTCAAAGATTTCTTTACTGAAGATACATATCCTATTCTTCTCTTTAAATAGCACATCCCTGACAACCTCAACCTCCTTCCTTGCTTATTTTTTCTTCAGAGCTTTTATCACCACCTAATGCATATTTTATTATCTTCTGTGTAGCCCCAATACCTACAACACTGCCTGGAACTCGACAGGCATGCAACTTACACAGGTTGAATAGACAAATCATTTAAACTGTTATATCTATTATCTAGCGAATCTTGCCAGAGTATCTCAAATGTTATAATAATACCTGCTAGAATATTTTGAAGGATATTTTATCCAAACTTTAAAAAGCCAAAAATGTGTTTTGAAGATTACTGCCTTCAAAAAGATGAAAGCAATTATAGCTTTCTGCTTATTATGCAGCTCATTCTTATTGTGCAATCCAAAAAGATTTCTGATTTAGAGAATTCAGAGAAAGTTTTCTATTTTCATATTGTATTTAATTGAGTGCTTATGCTGTGTCTTGCTAGTCTCTCTATTTCTATTTCATTTTAGAGCTTGTTTAGAAACCCGTGCTTCACAACCAATGGACCTCTTGAAGGAACTGTGTTGCCCGGGAGCCCCTGTGTCTGACACAGGCTTTGGCAGACCAACCCTGCAAAGATGTTTGAATCCTTCTGACACATTTGGTTGCAGGGGGAGCAGCTGCATTCAGGGGGATTCCTCTGAAGTCATGGCTTCCTTGTTGTCATGTGCTTAGTGTAATGAAGACTGATACCGACTAACTAATGTGTCAGTTCTACAAGCTTTATTGACCTCATGTGTATTTTTATCAAGGGGATATGTTTTGGGTCTTAAAATCCAGTTTAGGGTAGAGAGATTTTGCAGATTTTTAGGTGAACTAAACTTTTTGCACTTTGAGTAACTTTTACTGTAACAAAACAAAACAGAACAAAAACACGGTCCATTAAAGGTCAAATTGATAGATTGAATTTTCTTAAATTTCAAAACATCTAATCTTCATAAGTCATTGTCAAGGGAATAAAGAAATGTCACAATCTCTGAGAGAACATTTGCAAAACATATATAATGCATAGGATATACATGCTAAACTATATATGTTAAAGGATATATATAATTTAGCAAAGGTCTTCAGAATATAATTTTTAAGTGAAATAATAATGAAAACAATCCAACTATAAATGAGCAAGATATTTGAATAAATACTTCACTCGAGAACATATACTGATTACAAATGAACATGCCTACAAATGCTCACCGTGATCAATTCTTTTGGAAATGTAAGTCAATGAGAAACGTAGTGAGCTCACACTGTACGTCTACTAGAATGACTGCCATAAAAAAGACCGGCTGTACTGAGTGTGGGTGACACTGTTGGGGAGTTGAAACTGTCATACACTTCTGTTAGGAAACTAACATGGTAAAACCACTTTGGAAAATTGTTTGCAGTTTCTTAAAAAGTTAATCATAAACTCAGATATTCTACTCCTAGTTATTTACTCAAGAAAGTAAAAGCATATGTCTTTATAAAACTTTTATATGAATGCTAATGTCAGTTCTATTATAATACATAAACACAGGAAACAATCCAAAATGTTCATCAGCTGATGAGGGAATAAACTGCTATGAATTTAGAAAAGAGTACTGATCAACAGTAGAAAGAATTTAGGCTACAACATGGATGTAAATGTCAGTCAAATAATTATGCTGAGTAATAAAAGTTGTATAAAATAGGGCACAATGTATAGTTCTACCGATTCTAGTAAATGAATAGCAACATATAGTGGTAGAAAGCAGGTGTGTGGTTGCCTTGTGTGGGAGGAATGCGGGGAGGGGCAAAATAAGGGACGACAAAGGGTCAAGAGGAAAGTTTTGGAGGTAATATACTTATTCAATATTTTTATTTTGGTCATGATTTCATGGGTGTATGTCTGTTAAAACATGGTATGCATGCATATAGGTTAAAACATTTTATGCAATCAATATGTGAAATTATTTTATGTCAGCTATGTCTCAATAATTCTGTTAGAAAGAGCTAAGCACACAACGTCACAATAACCATTATCTACATATGCCAATTTTTAGCTTGGGCCACCACATAGGTGTCACCGACTGTGTGTAGTGGTCTGCTGGCATAGGACCCTCGGGTGGATTTGCCATCTGTGAGTAGAGTGTGCATGTGCTATCCATTCATTGTCATTTTGAAACCTTTTATTTAAGGAATTGTCTTAGGCGGAAGTCTTGCAGGCACACTCAGAATTATACTGTTTAGTACACCACCTAATACTAAAAAAATACAGATGCCACCAAGAATAGAGACAAAATTAGTGAGGTAGGTTTGAAACATTTCTTGGCACACAATTCCCCTCCAGCTGGTTTACATGTCCAGTTTAATTGTGACTTTTTAAAACTTCTCTAGCACTTCCAATTACTCTGTTAATTTAAAATTTCACAATTCGCATTCCAAAAAATTACATGTTGCTTAGCCTTTGGATTTTGGTTTGAAATATGATGCTATACTCTACCAGCAATCTTATTTTCACCACAACACTTTGACAGCTGTTCAAGACTATTAATATTGATTTAATGCTCAAGGAAATTTGCAATTTCTCACTAAGTATGGGGGCAACTTTGCCCACAAAGTCCCCCCTTCCACCACGGATGAAAGTAAAACTACCAAGACATGATCTGCTTGGGGAGGAGAGGTGGCCGATCCCTCAGAGGAGAAGGGCCAAGAGCCCCTTCCTCAAGGGGCTTTTATTGGGTTCATTTGCACAAGAATACAGGTAAGGATTAAACATAGATAGCATTCAAAGAACTATGAGGGCTTATTCTCAGTCAGGGTCAGATAGCTAAAGAGCCATAAAACTTGGAGGAACAAACTTCTTGCTTGGACCCTTATCATTTAAATGAGAGCATTCTAAACAAAGCAGGTTTCACAGGATTTTACATATTCTTTCTTAGGCCTGATCACCCCGGGGGAACCTGCCCTTCCCAGCACAGGGCTGCACCGCCTTCCCCATCATAGGTTTTTAGGCTTAAGTGGATTAGAGCCAGGAAGCGCTTCTCCCAGAGGACTTGGGGACTCGGGCTATGTCAGAATAGCTGGGGGGGGGGGGGCGAGGGTCCATCACTTTCTCTTTGTTGCAGCCCCCTGAGTCCTTCCACGATGGCCTCCCAAGTGATTGTGTCTGGCTTAGGTTGCCCGTCCTATGAGAAGTCTTACCCGTCTCTGACTATCCAACCATGCATGGGGCTCAGGGACAAGCTTTGTCTCATTAGGCTTGCATTCCAGGGGTCGCTTACTCAGCCTTAGCCACGGGGGGCGGAGGGGTAGTTAACAACTCCTGAAACCAGGCAGAGCGTTTCTCAACAACTAAGGGAAAAAGAATGTAAGTTAACCACAAACCTTTGCAGCAGTCAGCAAAGGGATCCTTGTGTTTCACTGTTAAGTAATACTCATATTTCATCTTTCTCTGTCTCAATAATTTGGTTTTTCTTTCTTAGGAGGAATACTCAAGTTGAACAATTACATATGTACAATCACTACATGTTTAGTGGTGATGCAGGAAGCTTTGGAAAACCTTTGTTCACCCAAACCCCAAGCACCCTGGGAGAGCGATACGGCCGTCTGGGAAAAGCAAACAACAGGATGTTCACAACAGCTAAGATTAGTGCCCTCCCCCGCCGCCCCCCCCGCCGCCCCCCCCACTGTCAGAACTAATTTCTGCATTTAGCCTTTGTACCTACCTCTGCTTCTGCCAGGTAGGTATAGGGAGCCTATAGCTAGAACTAACTTCCGCATTCTGCTTCTGTATCCCGCTTTGCTACATAGACAGGAAGACCCTGTAGACTATATAAACCCCAAGAATCCTTTGTTTGGGGCTCAGAATTTGGAGAATGACTCTTCTGAGCCCATGCACGTAATAAACTTCTCATGCTTTCCACTATCTCCTCCCTGTGTGAGTTTCTTCCCGCACCAGTGGAAGGATTTTAGTAAGGCATTAGAACAATTGCAAAAGAGAAGACTAAGAGTTGAACAAATCAGAGAGTAGGTATTGTACATTATTCTTCTGCCACATCCTCACCAAGCATTCTCTATAAGTCGGGCAGTGTACTGGAACTAGATAAGCAATCGTGAGCAAAACCAGCCTGTTTCTTGTTCTCACGGAGTTCAGGGTACAGGAAATCCATTCAATTAGATGCACAGTTTATCTCAAACTTCACCTCCTGGTTCTTCATTACTGTTTCCCAATTTGCAAGAAAGCCAAATTTCTTACTCATTTAATAAATTTATACTTATGTGACTGAAGTCATGTAACCCTCTCCTCCTTCTTCTTTTACCATTTTATTTTTAATTTTGAAATAATTTGATGCCCCCCCAAATTGCAAAATTAGTATAAAAATTTTTCACATACCCAGACCCAGCTGTTGAAGACTTTTTACCACATTTACTACTATTCTCTCTCTTCTCTTCTCACCTCTCTCTGCATTTCCATGGGTACAGTTATGGGTATAGATATAAATATAGATAAAAATACAACTATGGCTATATATTTTTCTTAAATATTTGAGAGGAAATTGAAGGCAGGGTACCTTTTATATCTAAATACATCAGTATACATATTCTGTAACCATATTGTATACATATTCTGTAAACATGTTGTAATAAATAAAATCAAGAAACTGATGATAAGACTAGTACCTAATCTAGAAGCCATATTCAAATTTCGTCATGCTTACCACTGACATTCAGAACCATTCCAGGATCACATGCTGCACATGGCTGTCTGGTCTGTTTATTTTCTTTAGATACGAAACAGATCCTTACCTTCTCTTTGTCTTTAAGACTTGGGTATTTTTAAAGAATACAGTCCAGTTATTTTGTAAAAGGTTCCTCGGTTTGTGCTTATCTGGTATTGCCTATCATTAGATTCAAGTTATACACTTTGACAAGAATACCATAGGACTGATGTGTCTTTCTTAATGCACCACAGTGTACCATTAATGGGACAGTAATTTGACTTCATCAACTTATTAAAGGTGGAATCTGCCAGTTTTCTCTAAAGCAAAGTTACCATTTTCCCCCTTGTAATTAATAACTAGCCTATTGATCTCTGCCTTGAGATTATGTAATCATCCTGCTTCTCACTATACTTTTTTCCACAAATCCTTGATGAGTCTTACCTGAAACAATTATTATTAGAGAAGTTTCGAAATGGTGATTTTTCTATTTCTATCATTTCTTTGACTTTTATCAGTTGAAATTCTAGTGTAAGATAGCACTTTCTTTTCTCCCTAGTCAATTTCTCTTTGAAGGTCTCGTCATCTGTCCATCTACCTATCTATCCAACCATCCATCTCTCTATTTTTTCTTATATGCTTTACATTGTTGTATGTAGAACCAGAGAGGTCCCTGGTACAAACCTATTTCATTTTTCTCACCTCGCCGAGTTGGGTTTACAAAATAATCTTAGTGATGACTCACTCTACTCACAATATTATTTCTCCAAAGATAACTAAGTAATCATGAGGTTTTAAAAAATTACTAGTGTCAATGGGATTACATCAGAAACCAAAATAAACTTTCATTCTTCAAAATCTGTGGGAGGCTTGTCCATGAGGGAGAGCTTCGTGCCTTCCAAGGTGATCCCAACATCCTCAGCTGGATGCCCCTGCCTTCATGAACATGTGTGTGCAGGGAGGGACTCCTTTCCCAGCCTCCTTGTCAGAAAGCAGTCCCCAGTGGGATGGTACACTGCAACCATAAGGCTTGCCTGTCGTAAATTTGATGGTTTTATAAGGTTGATTGAGTGCCTACTTTATGTTTATTGGAAAGGTAAGATTTGTGACATTGTCTCATGCCCTGATATTTGTCCCTGGTCTGGTAAGATTTGAACTTCCCAAATTTGGGATTTTAGTGATAATGCTTCACTATGTTGCCAAGATTATAGATAGGGAACTCAACAAATTAAACTCAGACAATTTAACCAAAGCATGTGGCAATTTGTTGCAGAAATAAAAGTTTTTTAAATGTTTCTTTTATATGAAAGTTGTGCAATAAAAGGATAATCAGAGATACCACTTATTCAGTGCCTAATATGTATCCCTAGTGCTTTATATATGCTATTCAAAAGTTTCATAAAACCCTAGAAGATCCATGTTAATATCCCGATTTTAAAAATCTGCAGCAGGAGTTTTATTTTATTTTTTTAAAGTATATTTTATTGATTATGATATTACAATTTTTCCAATTTCTCCCTCTTTTTTCTCCCATCTGTTCTGCACCCCCCAACCCTCCAGCATTCACCCTCCATATTAACCTCTCTCCATCTGTTTTATGCCTACCAATTACACTTCTTCTTCCCTGTACATTTCCCCCCATTCTTTCCCTCCCCTTCCCCACTGAAATCTCTCCATGTGATGTCCATTTCTCTGATTCTGTTCATTTTCTGGTTGTTTGCTTAGTTTTTGTTTTTGTTGTTTGTTCGTTTTCTTTTAGGTTCATTCATTGATAGTTGTGATTTTGTTGTCTTTTTACTGTTCATAGTGTTGATATTTTTCTTAGATAAGTACATTTAACCTTTCATATAATAATGGCTTGGTGATGGTGAACTCCTTTAACTCGACCTTCTCTGGGAAGCACTTTATCTGCCTTTCCATTCTAAATGACAGCTTTGCTGGATAGAGCAATCTTGGATGTAGGTCCTTGCCTTTCATGACTTCAAATACTTCTTTCCAGCCCCTTCTTGCCTGTAAGATCTCTTTTGAGAAATCAGATGATACTCTTATGGGCACTCCTTTGTAGATAACTTTCTCTTTACCTTTTGCTGTATTTAAGATTCTTTTTTTATGTCTAATCTTGAGTAACTTAATGACAATGTGCCTTGGTGTGTTCCTCTTTGGGTCCAACTTCTTTGGGACTCTTTGAGCTTCCTGGAAGTCTATCTTCTTTGCCAGATTGGGGAAGTTTTCCTTCATTATTTGTTCAGATAAGTTTTCAGTTTTATGCTGTTGTTCTTTACCTCCTTTATAATTTGCATACTGGAATATTTCATGTTGTCTCAGAGATTCCTCTGCCTCTCGTCATTTTTTTGAATTCTTGTTTCTTCGTTCCGTTCTGCTTGAATGTTTATTTCTTCCTTTTGTTCCAAATTGTTGCTTTGGGTCTTGATTTCCTTCCTGTCACTATTGGTTTCCTGAATATTTTGCATTATTTTATTTTGGGTATCTCTCATTGATTCCTTCATTTTGTGACCAAGCTCAGTCAGTTCTGTGAACATTTTGATTACCAGATAGGTTGGCTATCTCCTCATTGCTTAGCTTTATTTCTGAAGCTTTGTGCTGTTCTTTCATTTGGGCCTATATTTTCGTCCTGGTACACCTAATAAGTTGTAAGGGGTGGGGCCTCGGCTATTCACCAGGGCAGGGCAACCCTCCTTGCTGCACTGCCCTGGGGAAGAAGCCAGAGAGGGAACTATGCTGCTTGCCTGTAGTAGGAGTTTTAGAAAGGTTGCATCACTTGACCAAGCTCAGAGCTAACAAGTGGAAAGGGTAGAATTCAAATCCAAGTTCACCCTAATCTAAAAGGTCATGCTTTCCTCTGCATTACACGGATACTATACTTGTTAGCAGTAATAAATATACAGACAAATAAACATTTCTAGTCATTAAGAGTAATCAGTAAGAGTAAAAGCTGATGAGATTTTGTGGTAGAAAAATAAAGTTCTCTTATTTTTATTGTACAACAAAGTACTCAAGTTGAGGTATTTTATTTATATAATTTTGCTTTACTTGTCCTTTTTTCCACTTAACTCTTTCTCTTTCATAATATCAGGATATTTGAAAATATGCATATATGCTCAAAATATATTACTTACAAATCTTTAAATAATGAGAGATAATGGTGATAATGGTACTTTATCCCTTTATAATGATTATAACTGCATGACACTTCAAGCTCTTATTCTCTTAATTCTAAATTGAACTCCCTAAGTTGTAGTTTTTTTGTGTCAGACAGAAGATGGTGGTACTGGCTGAGTTATTCTACTGAGTTTAAGTACTTAGTTATCAGTATTGCTATATTGTTAAAAGTAATACATAACCTATATTTGGGTTTCAGAACCATTTACATTATCTTTGTAAGATTAATTTATAAAGTAATATGTATTATAAAAATATTGCACATATGTCAACACTTTAGAATAGAGGAAATAATTGTCTATATACAAAACACATACATTTAAATTATTCAATTGGGTTTGTCCTTCTTGCAAATACTTAAACAATTTAGATTTAAATGTGTACTTTAGTAATACATGTGATTTAGTATTGGGGATTAAATATTTATGTTATATACTCTAAATTTGTAACTATAACAAAAATAATAGTGCTAAATGGGAAAGACTACAGAAACCTTTGTTACTTAGGAAAAGAAATGGTGGAGAAACAGAGCTTTTTTTCCTTCACTTAATTCCTAGTTGAGTACAATGATTACCTTTAATTATCTTCTACTAAGCCTATAGCACTATGTATATATATATATATATTTTTTTTTTAGTCTCATAATTTAATTATATCTGAAATCTCCAAATGATTTCAGTCTCAGCTCATTTCAGTTCTTATCTAAGTCTTAGTACA